CATAATTCCGTTTTTACTTTCTGGAAAATTCTGGAAATTCTGTAAACGCAAAAGGCATCGATTAGGATGAAATTAACATATCGGATAGTTAAACATGTATCCGACTATCTGCAATAGGTATATTCGTTATCCGATACAAACGGATATCTAATTGAAAATCCGACGGATTTTTTGATCGGGTCCAAGCACTACTATTCAGGTTATAATTTAAATTGCAAAAGCCTTTTATTTGTTCACGAAATATAAGAACAGCATACCACTATATGCATATATGAATTACTGCCCTTGACAACTAAAAACTGCTTGCTGAATACTAAATAAATCAATAATCACATCTTTCGTAAGCGGATATGGTGGTGTACAGCCTTTGTAAACACATGCCGGTGCGATTGTCACAGTACACATTCTCAGAGCTGAGCAACCATTATACGGTCTTCTATGTTTATCGATAGTCCCAAATTCGAGCTGCAAAAATAGATCATAAAGCAATGTGATAAGACAAAATGGATTAACGGTATAAAACGCACAGGCACATACCGTTTGAACTGGTCGGAACTTTCCTTGTGTTTCATTTGCTTGAAGGCTTGCATGACGACAAAACTTATAGCACTATTAAGAATAAAGGTCATTCGAATAAATAAAAATGAAAAACTTTCAAAAAGTTACTAAACTGTTAAACGACGCAAAGGGCGTCCGTTCGTATCATTTTTGTGATTCCATGGCCACAGTTTGAACACAATCACATCCTCTGACCGATTTGGGGCCAACCAGAATGAATTGACTTTCTGGAGTATATGCGGAAAGCTTTGGGATCTGGCAACCTCACATACAACAGTTGGCCAGGGATTACCCTGCGTGTCAAGATTGATATTAGCATATTATATCCCGCAATTCAATATGATTAAAAATACATTATACCTGAGAATCACTTGGATTAAGGGATGGCCTAGGTAAGCGATTGGGCACAAATGAAGCATCAGGTTGTCTGGCAGAACTTCGTCCCGAACCAAGACAAGCTGGACATAATGGAATTAATGATATTTTATACGTGATCAAAACACCATACATAAGAAGGCGCCTTATGCCATTTCTAAGATACATACTCGTTGCTCCAATACTAAAAACGCGATCAGATTGTTAAAAACAGACATAAATTGAAATGTGAATTCTCAGTGTGCGGCTTCATGATCACGATTTGGTAACTCATATATGATAACAACGCCGTCATCAAACTCCCAAAATTTGCCTGCATTTGCAATTTCGCTCTTTTTCTCATAATCATGGTATGTCGCATTTTCTACTAGGCGCAGAGGTAGTCTAACAAATAAGCAAAGCTTTAGCATTGAAAATAGAAAATCGATGATACACAATGAATACTACCTTTTTTCATCGATAACCTTATAATTCCCATCGGTCCACCATTTTTTTTCTTTATCGCTAGCTTTATTGATAATATTAGTATCTCCTGAGTTGGATTCGATAACCTCGATGCATTCTAAGAAAGCCTCTTCATCCGCAGAAATTGGGCATGGACTTGCGGTTCGAGATAAAGAACTTGAGGTTAAAGAAGCAGAAGATTTCTCGTCTCTTAATATTGAAAACATCTCTAAAGTTGACTAAATTTATATAATTTGAATGTTTTACGATTATAAAGTGGTATATAAGTTAATTTCATCCTAATCGATGCCTTTTGCGTTTACAGAATTTCCAGAATTTTCCAGAAAGTAAAAACGGAATTATG